TTTGACACAAGTTAATACTCGAGAAAACATGGATTGATCCTCGTCATAATGCGTCATCTATTAAAAAACCGTGAAAAGCAACACGATCACTGAAAAGTTTCATCTTAAATTCATAATAAAAAAGCCTCAGATTATTAAAGTTCGAGCCTACCCAAGCCTTAAACTTTCAAAATTTGAGCCTACCCAACTTCAATCTAGGGTAGGCACTGTGCCTACCCAGGCCTGATGGCTCCGCCGCCTATGAAAAAAGTGTGTTGTCGAAATTAAGTAATGCTTAAGAAACAAAGAAGAATGTTGAGTATAACTGCGATTGTTCACCTTTCTAGAGGTAATAGTTAAAGAGAAAATGATTCAAAATATGTCAACATTTAACCTCTTCCGAATTGAAGAAATTATATCTGAGCTTTTCTAGCAAGTTTAAAAAGAATAAACACTCACAAGAAATACAGACAAACCGAATGTATGTATTGCACAGTCGTGCCGAGTAAACAAATATTTGTAGCCGCAATGAGAAGCTCTAACATCGGTTGAGATTCGAGCAATCAGTGATTCTTGAGATTGTAGCGAACGATTGAGTTTAAAACCGTGAGAAACTAGGCGTTACGGGGGATCACATTTTCTTTTTAGAAATACTCATGAGTCACTCTATATCGCAATCAGGCTATATATTCAGATTGGGATATAGGTACAGCCATATAGCCGGAATATAAAACTCAAATTTTGTCATTAAAGTTCGTTAGCGCAAAAACCTGGCGTTATCACATCCACACTGTACGACTAGATAGACATTACCTATTTAAAATTGTGATGAAAAAATATAGCTTTTATTAAAATTCTAAAGTATATTTGCTTGTTTAGCATGACAAGTGTTGTTCCATCTGCTCTTACACCTCTCTCAAATACCGATTCTGGCATCTACAGTTCAGCCCGTCAACCATATCTTAACTCAAACGTAGTACAGGAAGAATCTCCTGTTAAATCCACCAGTAATGCGTTAGAACAACAAAACGTTGTTAAAGTTTGTCAAAAATTGACAGTAAGAGAAACATTACCGACTCGAAGTGTTAATGATATAAAAGCAACTGTGCATGAACCATGTGCATCCAAATATAATGCGGCTGTTAAATACTATAATTATCTTGAACCAGATTTACCACGCAAGAGAAATATGAGAGGTGGACACTTTATATTATATAGGATAGTGTGGCTGAATGCTATCATACTAATCGGCATATTTCTGGGGCTTAGTACTATTTCAAAATTAAGAGCTTGTATTTTCGTACCTATTATAATATGCATTCTATATATTGCGTTATCCATTTATAATATAGTTATATACTGTTTAAATGGCAATTTGTTAGAATCCCATCGTATGTTCTACAGTAATCGTATTTCATCAGAATACAATAAATTTCTCACCGTGCCAATTCAAGAAACGACGGTTGTGAGCCAACATGATTTTGATTTAACTCATCTAGATGTTCTGCCGGTGTTGAAACAACATTACACTCATTTGACAGAAGTTGATATAATGATATACAATGACAAATATAAGATAACTGTTACCCGCGCTCCAAAATTCTTTTGTGGAGTTGACATTGTCGTGTTCACGATATTACTCATAGCATCTATTATTTTTGCTGTTGGTGTCGTATCGAAATAGCCGACGTACGAAACCTCACTTTCAGGAAAAAGGTTTTCAGACATCCTCTGAGAATTTTCTGGAGACCTCAATTTTATACTTATTAAAATCTGCGTTGTTAATCGTCGACATCGTTCAACTAACTCCCTTGTAAAATCTTTTCTGTAATTCTAAAACAATCAATGTGTTTTATTTATTTCACTGTTTACTAACTAATTTACTAACTTATTCATTCAATTTTTGATGCTGTTTTCTATCTTTATTACAGGCCTTGTGTTCACTATATAATGGCGATGCCGAATTAGTAACACTAGAGCTCTATACTTTATATTTATTCAAATAAATAGCTTAAACCAACTAACTCCCAGGATTTCAGAGTCGAAACTGGATTTTTGGTAGTAACCGAAACCGGCACGGCTCAAAAGGGCCACACAAACTTTGCAGACCTAACACAGGTTTTTGCAGACGTCATAGAGCCGATATTTTTACATGGCTAGATCCATTAGATGCTCAGCTTCAAAATAATAGCTTCAACATATACTTCTTTTTATGAAGTCTCCAGGATATATGTATGGTTCGAAACCAGAACTCTAAAAGACAGAGCAAGTCTTTGATAGGTTTTCCAGAAAGCTTCTTAAGATCTTTAGGTGACAGCTCAATATAAGAAAAAATTTAGCATTCAAAACGTTACACATCACAAAACATTTTCATAGCATTCAAAAACATTTTAAATTGTAAAATTTAATAATTAATAATTTTTTAAAGTTTTTGTCATTAGAAAAGAAAAATTCTTCCGCTTATTCCACGTAGAATTTAATAGGGAATAACTTTTGTTCGAACAGTTTTTTTGAGCTATGCTTTGCGTAGTCAGAATCTGTGGCAAGATTTGGGACGCGTACCCCTGCAACAAGGCCTTCCAAAAACCCCAGCAGTTATTGTCAGAATCATTAATTTTTAATTGTAACACAGTGGCTACATAGCCCAAAGCGTTCTCTGCAATTCTGCGCAAGGTCGACCCCTCGATCTGTTGTGCTTTTTCATTTAGACATTTACCCGATGGAATGGTAACGAAGTACGGATCGCTCAGCAAAGTGCCTGCCATTCAAGAACCACAAAAAATAGAGAGGTCGACCTTGCGCAGAATTGTAGAAGATACTTTGGGTTATCTAGCCAGAATGTTGTAATTAAAAATCCATCACAGGTTCAAAATCTGGCAACCTTATCACTTTTCATCAGTCAGGTACAGCACCTAAAAAACCGAGATTTTTAATACAAAGTATATGTAAAGATAGAGTAAAGACTTCTCTACAAAATGCTGAAAATCCGAACTCTCTATCTTTTTCGTTCTCGAGTTATTCAAAACACACCCATGGTCGCTCTATTCAGAAATTAATAGTAGAAATTCCGCTTGCCTAAAATCGAGTATAAATAATTGCTTATCGGTAAGATTTTGAAAAGGCAAATACAGAGATTTGTAGCGCTTGGAAACCCCTGTCGAATGACGTATTACTTCACAATTTCCAATAAACCGTTAATTTGCAAATAAAAGTGTAAGGCACCAGAGTGATATTAATTAGTATTCGTTAGCATTGATTAATTATAAATTAGTGTCTTAAAAAAGCTTTTTTTAAAAACTTTTTTCATCAAACCATAACAACAGACCATTGTCTATCAAGCAATGCATGAATGACTTTTCCATGATTATTTTTGACTGAGTTACAAATTTTTTAAAAAGAGACCTAGAACTTTAAATTGTAATTAATATTTAAACTTAATTAATTAATAACTCTATAAATAGTTATCAGTTGTTCGAAAAAATTGTAGGATATATGCAATCAGGTGTTCTCTTCAAACTGATATAATTTGAGAGCACATATAGGAGGTGTGGATCTTTCCCCTTAAACCAAAAAATCTCTTATAAGAAAGATAGAAGTATTATATATGACTTAATCGAAGGTTATGTGAAGTATGTTTTCTATCATATAATGTGTGTATTATTTTAATTTTTTTCATGTCATTTCTATCTAATCTATCGTTGAAGTCTGACTGTTTGATTGATTGGCAGGTAGTATACTATGCAAAATATCTTTTGTCTATTATATGTCTTTTTCTATTATTAGCTTTCTTGAGGTGTCTTGTATTATTTGACTCAAATATAAATATTGTACATGAAATGAAAAAAAAGAAATGTATCCATAATAACAACCAACAAAAAAGACAAATTAAAATATATATACAAACCAATAAAAATATCATCAAAAAAAATGCAACGTCATCACGCGAAAATATATGTATATGAAACAATACAATAGAAGCGAACAAAAAAGAAAAGCGAAAAAAAATCATAACTTAACAAACATTTTTGTGCTAAGCACTCTCATCCTCACACACATATATTTTTCTTGTAATGCAAAATGAACGAAGCATGAAATTCGGCAAAAAAAAAGAAAAAGAAACGTAAATGAAAAATATGTGGTCTTTAAATTTTTTGCTTTGTATATCTAAATACTTACCGGATATAGAATGATCATTCTGATAATGAATTTCGTATTATTTGTGTTTTTTGCCGTTGAGTTTCTTCATCATCATCAAATTCTTCCTCATCATCCTCCTCTTCATCACTATCATCTAATGTTTCTTGTATCATGGCGGTAATTCGACGATCATATTCAGTTCGATCATCACGATAGAGTAATGCTGCTTCTAAATTAGCTGGACTCAGTGGATTTGGATCAATAAGAAGAATTCGAATTGAATTGAGAATGGATAGAACATCCAATGATGGTGTCCATTCATCTTTAAGAATATCCACACAAATGAGACCATCATCATACCAAACGTTTGGATGAAATAATTTTGATGTAAAACGAACTTGAGGTGGTCTATTTGGATAATCTTCGGGAAAAAGAAGTTGTAATTTGAATACACCATTTTCAAATATTGTGTCTTCTGGACCACATATAATAGCATTCCACACAAACAAATTGTCAGGAGATGGTGATGCATCTATACCATCAACTTTATTCTTGAGCATATTACGTAAATCTTGTTGAAGTCGACGAATAGCCATTTTACGATTAGAAAAAAAATTTGAAGAATCTAAAACAAAAAAATGTATATGATTATTATTTCTATAGTCTCAGATATGTGTCTAACGCTATTTTTAAACTATAGTCTATAATATTTTATTTTATCAAACACACTTGACACATCAAAACACAAATAAATATTACTATTCTACTAAAATTTATAGAGTTATAAGTTTTTATTATTATTTTATTATCACTTTTGCTTGACAAGATTCAAATGTTAATGGATTATAAACTTCTTCCACTGGTATCTAAATACAAAGAAAAACAGTCAGTATTATGTAACAACGGGAATAGTTTCTCAGTTTCATTGATCTAATCTGCTTCTCATCTGATCATATCATTTTTTTAGTCTCATAAGGAAGAAATGCATTCGAGCTTTTATAAAATCAGAATTTCCGAAATCTTTGACAACATTTTTCTTTCACTAACTCTTGTACGTTTCATGACTGTTGTACGCCTCTGATTATCTGTTCTCTTTGTCTTTATAACAAGAGGATGTTTCGATCTGCGTGTTTTTCTTGTATTTAATTATTTCAACTTTTGAATGTATTGTTTGAAATAATACTCTCTTCTCTAACTATCTCCGTTTTTTTTTGTTTGCTCATCTGATCTTTTACTCTCCCATTATCATTTAATGTTTGTCGTTTTGTTTTTTATTTCTTCCACTATCTTCTCTTTCTTATTTGAAGAATCAAAGAATAATGTACTATGATCCCTAGAGCGCCATTTTAATCTTTATACTGTTCATCTCTTTCTTACTAAATAATGTTTATATCAATCGTGTTCCTCTATCTCTCTTAGATACATGGTCATAAAAGTTGTTTATATCATTTCTCATCATAAACAATGATTTTGTATAATATTTACATTTTTTAATGCATGTAGAATAGTTTGATCTTGTTCATGTTCTTGTTTATCATCATTATTTTCAATATTTGGCGCTAATATTAATTCACTCGAAGCTATTGATCGCAATAGAAGACTTGAATTTGAAGCTGATGTTAAGAGAAAATAGCCACATAATTGATCTTCAACTGTATTGTAACGATAATCAAGACGACATATTAACATTAAATTCTAAATAATGAAATGAAGAGATACTTAAAATATAATAATGAATAAAAAATTGTTCAACTTACATTTTTTCTCAAATAATCACTTAAAGTAATAAAAGATAAATAATTTTTATTCAATATATTTACATCATATTTCCAACAATTTGTCGCTGTTACCAATAAAGGCTAAAAAATGAAAATAAAAAAAGAATGAATGTTACTTTTAACAAGAACGAATACGTTAGATTATGTACTTCTTCACTTATACTTCAATAATACTCTAAGTCATTACGATATCCGGAGAGTGTTTGTTTCTTACCATTCCATAAATGAGTGAAACACACGCTCCATATTGTTTAATAAAATTTATTGCTTTTAATTGATAAATTGGAATTGATTCTAGTGAAGATAATGATGAATAATTTGATTGATAAACTTTTGTAAATGGTTCAACATACAATATCTAAAGGAAAAAAAATAAGATTTAATTAAGAATAATCATTAGTATTTAAAAAATATTTACAAATTTGTTATGATTTATGTTGTTATTTGGATTAATTATTGTTTCCTGTAAATCACAACGGATTACATGAGACTGTTGAATATGTTGAGTTAAACGACTATGACCAACATCTAAAGAAATAAAATAATCATCGTGTAGATTATTGAAAGAACGATTTAAAATCTCATTTTTATCATATTATACTAAAAATAATTGAAGAAAGAAAGATGTAAAACAAACAAACACACTAAAAATTCTGATATTTTTTAAAAATATAGTTATAAAAAGAGAAATTTTTTTTTGTTTTTCATTTCAAAAATAACTTTTTTGTTACCTTGTTTTTCATTTTATTTAATATAGATCATGACATTATCTCCTCCTTTTTCCTTTTTTTTTCTTTTTCTATCGGAAATACCTTGATACATATTCCATTTTCTTTCTATTAATTTTTTTTTGTGCTAACTTAAACATTTTCATAGTCCAATAAAGAGTGAAAAACATAAACAGGAAGTGATCATGTTTCTGTCACTTTTATATATACATATATAATCAATCCCATTAAATACCTCTTTGTTTCTTATATTATTAATTACAATGATAATAATAACTAGACATGCAACTTAGTTTTTTTCCTTTTCTCCGTTATATATATATATACTTTTAATATACGATATATGTATGTTTTCTAGTAAAAACATTTTATTTCTGCAGGTTCAATTTTTTTATTCTAAAGTAAAAAAAAAAAAAAAAAAATTCAATTTTTTTCTTTTATTATGCGATAGAATTATAACAACTTCCGTTTATTTTGATCATTAAATTATTATCATTTATTATAAGAAAAAAAATAAAATAATTTTTCATATTTATTATTTCTTTTTCTTTTTTTTAATTTTTTTTTGTTTTTTTCTTCTTTTTTTTTTTTTTTTTTTTCTATTTTTTTTGTCATAAAGTCGACTTATTTTAAATAACTTACTTAACCGGTATTTACACATATTGATTACATTTTACAAGATCGTTGGGTAAGCAGATAGTGATACACTTACACTAGTTATTCATAGAGAAAAGATGAAATATTAAGAAAACTATTTAAAGAAAACTTTTTATTAATAAAATATTTTGAACACTATGTAAATCATTCAATTTTTATGAGAAATAAACTTTTAAATCTTACGTTTTTTTCTAAATGAGTCGTAGAAATATCAGATCAATAGAAAAGTATCTTGTAAATATACGTTTAGATGAAAAAGGAATCATTTATGCTTATTATTATCGTTTTTTATTTTCAAATTCATTATTTTGAACGAATGTACTACAAGGAATTTAGCATACAGATTTTTTTTCTTTTTACCAATATTAATCAAGAAATCGACTGCTCAGATTTTGAATAGAAAAAAGTCAAAAATTTTCAGTTGAAAAGATTCTGATATAAGTCTAAATTACATTTCATATATGAAAAAAATTTTCAGATCATGAAAACAAATTCACCAAAAAAAAAAAGAATTTTTTTTATTTAAAATTTGATAACATTCAACACAGAAGTTCTAAATTTCTACAAAAAAACATGTTCATTCAATCTCAAAACATTTTTATATACGTGACTTGATCTGTTCTATCATGTGAATATATTAGAATCTCTTCAGTTGAATGTTTCAACTTCTTCTAGTGGAAGGCCTAGTGGCCATCAATGTATAATAGATTTCTTGATGAACGTCAATGAAAAACTATGTTTTATAAAAATAATGAGTAATTATTTATGGATGTTTTCTTAAATGTTGAATTTGTCAGGATATTTCTCATGTTAACGGGAATTCTAATATGCTAGAGTAAACAAGAATTCTGAATCTATTACCTATTGTACAATCACATCATTTTTTTTTTTCGATTTAGATTAAACTAATAAAAAAATGGCATCGTCCGTATTGTCATTTATTTTCCTGTTAACTATTATTATCTCTCATGTAAATTGTGGATATTGGGTATGTGATTGGGTGAATAATAAAGGATGGTTATACTGTTCAAGAGGATTCTGCAATTCATATGGGAAAAAACGAGATTTAACTCATCAAATTCAGCATCAAGGTCCTCAACAACAAGAGGATGGAACATATTGTGATGAAAACTACTGTTATATCTGCGAAGATCTTAATGCTACAACTTGTCATTTAAAACGCGTATCAAAAAATTATGACCACAATGCAAAAAAACAATATCGAAGAGATGATGATTGTCCATAATCATTAGTAGCAAGCAACTTCAAGAACTGGGTACAGTATTCATTTTATATATATATATTTTTTTGACCTTTGTTTGACTAAACGAATTTCTTAAATTAACGAAATAAAATGAAAAATATTTAATATAGAAAGAAAAACTAATATTTTGGACTATACAACACATTCTTAAAGGGACTATCTGTCATCGTAAAGATCATATACTCGGCAAATGTACTGAATTTGATCAATGCTTCTGAACACTGTTTCAACTCCCCAAGCAAAAACGACCCAATTTTTTGGGTTATTTATCTAGATTCAGCTCCACGTACATCTAGATGCACGTGGACCTGAATCTAGATAAATAACCCAAAAAATTGGGTCGTTTTTGCTTGGGTCATACCAATTCGCCGTTATTCTTACGAATTCGTAAAATACGGAATGTTGTGTAAATACTCACAGCCATCCTCACAGCCCCCCCTCCCAGCTCGGCACATGTACACAAAAGGGAGAGAGATTCTCCTCTGTATTCTTTCGCACAGATACATGTACTAATATAGTCTATTGTCACATTTTTTGATTAATTCATTCAACTGATCAATTCGTATTTTACGAATTCGTAAGAATAACGGCGAATTGGTATGAGAAGTATGCAAATCGATGAGAAGAGACGAATCTATCTATTTTTAACCTCAGAGAAAAGTGTCCTGTCCCTGACATCAGTTCGTATTTTACGAATTCTATTTATAAATTCGTCGGTTATGCTTTGGCATCTATGAATTCGTAAATAGAATTCGTAAATTCGCATTTTATCGTATTTTTGCCAATGTACGAATTCTCGGGGACCAAAATGATCATTTCACGAATTCGTCGATGGTCGACCAATTCGATTTACGAATTCGTAGGTACCGGAAATTTGTTTCTTACGAATTCGTCCTAATTTACGAATTGGCAAAAGGAAGAAAAGACGCAATTTTTTAGTTTGGTTTTGATCATTTTTGTTAGTTCGCATCAGTTCGCACTGAATACGAATTCGCAAAACAATGGTAAAATGCGAACTGTTGCATCATTTTTACGCCCAAAAATTGCAATTCGTCAATTCGTCTTTAGACACTTTGTCCACACTAATGGCCGACAATTTAATAAACCGAACTTCGAAAGTTTAACGAAGATCTTTGGTATCGTACAATGAATACACAGGATACGGCTTGAACGACGTCTTTTAAATCTTTTATTGCATCCACATAATGATATTCTTATGCAACTAAATAATATTGCACATAATATTTGTTTATAAAATAAATATTTCTTTCTTGGTTGAAAAAATTTAAACATTTCATATAATAGTATATTGAATAAGTTGATTAAATTAACTTTCTCTTAAACTTTTTCAGCTGTTTATGATACAAAAGATTTAATGGACAAACTCTAAATGTGTACTCATGTTTCCTAGTGCTCAACTTTCTCGTGCTCAACTTTCCTCGTGCCCAATTTTCTTAGTGCCCATATTTCCTACTCCTCAACTTTCCCGTGCTCATCTTCCACCCATCCGTGAACAGTGAAATATTTTATAAATGATTATTCCAGTCTCTACAACAATTATCAAATGCAAATTCAGTAACAAAACGATGAATATGGTTGTTTTTTCTCAGGAACGTTCTTCAGCAAGAACTGAAGTGCTGATATAATTTGATTATTATTTTTAAATTAACTGAAAAACACAATATAAGATCTTGATGCCTTTTGCGTTATTCTCACCTTGAATTTGCAAGGTGTATTTTACACATAAAAAAATTTGTTCAAACTATCATTGATCGATTCTACTAACAATAATAAACGGATAAAATGAACAATCACGCATACGAATATTTTTTAATATAAAATAAAAATTAAATTTACGAGCTACAATACAAAAGTTGTATGAAATGAGACACAACTTTTCTGACGAACCAATGTTCTATAAAATATATATCGAGAACTAGATTAATTAAAAACAGTATGCGATTATATACTTTCTTTTCAAAAAATAGTTATATCGGAAGAGAAAAGCGTTAGCTGTTTATAAGACGAAATGTTTTTCAGAGGATTAGACATTTCACAAATATTTCTAATTTGAAAATTGCAGTCATATAGTAAACGTGAGATTTTCAATAAATATCAACTTTTCTCTGAATCGTTAAATTAACTGAAAATTTCGGCGTAGGTTCCAGAAGTCATTTTAAAACCGTCCAAAGAAATGCAAAGAAAACAATTTTCTGGGTTAATTAGTGAAAAACAATCTACAGGCTTGTTAACACTAGAACACAACGAAAACATGGGTTTCCATATTTCAACTTCATATGAGATAAGGCTAATAGTACTGACTCATAGTGCTTTGAAGAGAACAGAGAATGCTAAAGACGATGCATACGACCTCGATACTCTCTAGAATATACATAGCGTGAATAACAACATTATCAAAAGAACTTGCCCTGGTTTACAGCGATTCAAAAATGATTATATTAATAAAAAGTACTAACAGAAGGAGACTCTTTAGTTTAATAGAATCGATCCTGAAACGTTTAAATCAAAAGGTAAACTTCATTACAGCCTACACTTTCCTTCCAAAAGCAAGCTATTCGGTAAAACAAGAGTAGCAATGTGAACATCGCTTGAGTAAAACACGCGAATGATTTTTAATGTCTAACACGAGTTATATATCGCTACTGGTACTTCTCGATTCGTCTGATGCATTGCAAGGATTTGGCAGACCAGACTTTCTTCACCAGCGATTTTTCGTTCATTGCATCACACAAGATCAATATACAAATACATTTATAACTTGTACATACACTGTTCGTGAAATGAACATATTTCTTCCGCACACTGCAGTTGATCTTATTCTCATCTGTGGAGGTTTACCATGCATGCGAAAGCAATTCCATCTTTATTATGAAACAGACGATTTGGTGAACAGATATAAAAGACTAATGCAATCAAACATCTGCGACCAAGTGTTCAATCCTAATTAAAATCAAGCAAAACTTTACGGAAGAGCAAACTCGCATCTTCCTTGTTGCATAGCTGATTTCGAAACACGAGACATGGACGCCGATCACTTACTCGTTCCGATGGATGAACTTTTTGTACAGAACGCGCCGAAGATTAATGAGGACATCCGACAGTATTCTTCTCTGGGCGAACAGCCTGCAAAACGAATGGATCTAATAAAATTTATAGTTTTTTAAAATTCTAAATATTCAAATTCATTTGTTCCTTCTTGTTTATTAATTCCTTTCTCACTTCATTTTGTTAAATTATTTCAAAGAATTGGCAGCACAAATACAGGTTTAATAAAACTGAAAAATAAAAGTTGAAAATGAAAAGCATTAGACGACTAATTAATTATATTAAAAGGGGCTTAATAGTTAGTCAATGAATGAACGTCAAATCATGGTATTTTAAATACACATTCATAGTTTTACTGTTACTTTATACTGATAGCTTCGCAATCTTACAAGATCATTATCAGCTTCACGTAAGAAAATCTGTAATTTTTGTTATTTATTACTGTTTATATGAGTTCATCTAAAAAAGACGATGAATAAAAGAACCCATCAACATCTGGACAATGAATCAGCATCCCATCATAGATATATTAGTGGATTTGTTTTTTCTGACATTTGCTCCAAAACTTCGAATTTATTAGAAGAGAAAATCGGACTTTGATACGAAAAAACACGTTGAAATCAGAGAAATCATTATTTCTTCTTGGTGGTTTATCCTGATTACGTCGTGCGTTGTAACATTTCACGACCCCATTCAATGATTGTTTGAACGTCAGGTGCCGTTTGGACAGTAGTACCGATATCTAAACCATATGATTGCCATTGTTCTAAGCTAAGTCGTGTGCTGCTACCATTGACTTTGCATGTAAATGCGACTTGTGTACCAGATGGAATATAGATTTTGTTATTTGCTAAATAAGGTACAAAGATATTGGCTGTATCACAATTTTCAATGTTGTAGGGCACCGGACTTTGATAGAGTACACAGGTGTTCTGGATCCAAGTTTCATTCCAACCACTAGAACCTCTTGTTGGTGCGTAATCACTGAGGCACACATTACTGCCGAACCCGCCTCCATTTACATCCGAATAGACATAAATCTCGTGATGATCTGTTTTTGAATGACCTAAATAATTTTTCTTGCCTCCATACACTTGAAAATTATAGCTATCCTCATAGAAACAACTGCCATCATCATGATCTATGGGCCATACTGAGCGGTAGTTATTAAAGAGAGTGTTATGATGAATATAGCTTCCATGCTGCCAAAGTGAAGGTAAACCTGGCTGTACTGCGTCAGTCAAAAACGGTTGTCGATCCCATGAATTGATTGGTCCATGGTCACTGGTTTCTCGAACAGTGTTGAACAGGACGTTCCAACTGATAGTATGATTACCATAGAAACCATCATTCACATTAATTGCCGCTCGTGGCATATTGAACATGAGATTGCCAATGACTGACACGCTCCGGCTTACAGAAATCAGTACAGGTGATGATTGTTTGACATAGATGCCGGTTTCGTGTATGAGGTTTGACTGTATGAGTGTATTGGCTGGTTGACTAGCCACACTAAAACCGTCTATTCCATTAGTGCTGCCAACAAGGATGATAGCTGAATCGGCTAACCACACAAATTCATTCAAAGTGATCGACGTGGCATCATTGAAATCAATCAAAGCCACACCATTGCTACCCAATTGCGTAAATAAATGGCGTGTAATTGTGACATTTTTCGTATTTGTCAGATACATTGTACCGCCTCGATGAACAGCCCAATCACCACCACTTGGTACCATGTAATCTCTCATATAAGTACTACTAGTTTGTGTCAGTATCAAGCCCCGAATCAATACATTGTGGACAGGATTTTCGATGCCGCTTCCGCTTACTGAAATAAGACAGGAAATTTGACTAGCTACGAAAACGTTGGGCATAGTTTCGTTCGGCATAAAATAGAGGGTACGGGTATCTCTGTCCAAAAACCATTCGTTTGGTGAATCAAGCTCTTCGAAAATGTTTGCAACATAAAATGCACCACCGTCACGCGAACCACGTGCTTCTTGGAAACCTCCTCGACCAAATATGATTGTGTTCTGTGTACTATTGATAGATGCTATTTCGAATATCCAGCTACCCCAATAACCAGAATGAAAAGCGTGGACGAAACCAGTCGTAGGCGTACTCCAATTACTTATATGAGGCAATGCACCATTTTTCACGGTAAGACCACTAGGAACAGCATAATTATCACCAGCAGGTGGTGAGGCTGTGCTCCAAAAATTGCGAGGCGGATTGAAAACAGCAGCACCGCCACCCAAACCAAGTTGATAATTAGTAAACACTGTGCCGTTACGAGAAGGTTCTTGTACATGAATTTCCACGCTTCGGTTCAAATTCGGTGGCCACCATCGTTGTGAATCGTAGGAAAATCCTGGATCTTTTGCGTATAAGCCTTGAGTAGAAGGATCACCATTTGGATATTTAGCGACGATAGCTCTTCTGTCATCGATATATAATTCATTAAATTGATCAAGATTGACGGAAGGGGGCACCTGAGCTTTCATAATTGTACCACCAGTTGCTGTTTTGGCATGGACGGACCATTGCAATTGTAATAATGTACCACCACTCAATATGACGCGTTCATCCTGATAGTTTTCAATCACAAGATTACTGTCATCACTTGTCAGTGCAATCGCACCAATTTGACTACTCCATATGGTGGCGTTCGTTCCGAGATAGTAAGTTCCTCCGCGTATAGTAATGCACAATGTGTTGCCACTATCATGCACAGCACGTAGAGTACGTGTGAGAGATAGGGCTGCCTGGATGGTTTTCATCGGTCTTTCGAATGTTCCATCGAACAAATTATTACCTTTTAAATCGTGCACAAATACTGTATGATGACAAGTTCCTTTTTTTATCTCTGGTGCAGTCTTGAACAGTTTGTCAGAACTCGATGGTTGATAAGCAGTATGTGAGGTACCGTTGCATTGATTCATTTGAAAAGCGCTTTGACTGAGTGTTGTCCAATTAGTTTTCGAGAACGTAGGTTCAATATACGTGGCCATTTCAATGGTGAAAGCTCGAAGCGCGCAGTCATGTTCGGGTGAGATATTTGGATTACCGACTGTACTATAGCGAGGATGATATGATTCAGTTAAACTTTTTGGTGCCCAATCACCATACGAGATGTTCAAAAAACCGATCAGTGATAGTATTACAAAAAAGAGATGATGCATCTTGACGTTTTCGTTTCTGCTGGTACATACAAAAAAAGAGGTATATTTATTCTTTCTTTAACAGACGATCAGTAAGGTGTATGTGAATGCGTGTGTATATATATGATAACGTGCCTCATGGTTAGGTAAGCATAGATACGACGAAGCACGTTGTTGCCGCTCATATCTGATTCACAAGGACAGACACGAAGACACAGTCTCTTTTTTAAAGGTCGTGCGCTGAATTTTACTCTGTATATTTCATCTTACTAATTACAGTGAATGTCATTTAGTAATAGTGAAGGAAATTACTTCGATAAAAGAAAAACTTGCATTAGCAATGTCAATGTATAATAAGTATCCAGAGTAGTGCGTCTTATGGCTGAAAACTGGAACCAATTCCGATAATGACGAACTGCAAAACAATCTGTCGAACATGTACAGTAACTTTTGAATGTACGAAGAGGCTAATACATGTGTCAACTCTTTATCCAGCTTATCAAAAGGTCAGGGTAATATCTTTCTCATTCTCATTGGTATTCAGTGCGAGTATTTTTATTTGGTGAAAATGGTTATCGACTTGCCTCAAATTACATACATTTATTTATATAATCAAAAGAAGAAGCAAATATTATCATTACACAAAAAATTCGATTTTCGACAGATAACGTTAAAGATTTGTTCTATAGAATATATTAATTTTCCCAAGGTTAGTTTTGATTTTTGTTTCTTATTTTATGGATAATTTGTCATTGATTTGTTAAACAAAAACTGATTTGAGCACAATTTTACACAAAAAAAAACATAACTATGGATGATTTAAATTAAATAAATTATTAAATTATCTTAATTCGTTAACTTTAAATAATGAATTAAATAATAATTCTCTATAATTATTACGTAAAATTAAACAAGAACGAACATTTAAAATTGAATTTTTAACAAAGTATCCAGAATATAAAAATAAATTTGATTCATTTGATAAAACATTGTTATATTGTGCGTGTGACAATGGAAATGTAGAAATTATAAAATATTTAATTGAAATATTAAATGTAAATTAAATTTACAAAATCGTTGTTTATTTTTATCAAATGATTGCACACCATTACACAGTGCTTGTTATTATCAACATATTGAAATTGTAAAATATTTATTAACAAATCAAAAAATTAATTTTAAATTTAAAAAATTCTATTAATAATGATGTCAAAATTAAAAAATAATCATGAAATAGTAATGGAATTGGAAAAAAAGTTTTTTAGACGCTGACTTTTCCATTGAACGGACTCTAGAAAACCGTCCAGAATTCAGAAAGTAAAAGTTCTAGACGGGTCAAAATTTGGATTTACAACTTTTCACACATGTTGAACAAGACAGAACTAGTTAGAAGCAAATCTGAGACATCGATTTAGCACCACTTGTTGTTTCTCTTATACAATGGCTCTTACAGAACGAATATAAAAATATTGTTAGTAATTACATTGAAAGTAATAGTTCCTTATCGGAGAAATAATAAAAAGTTTTATGATGTTGTTGGTGATGATGACAATGAAAAATAAAGCAAAAGAAAAAGTTATAACTGTTTTTGCTATTTGTAACACAGAAACAGATTCAGAAAACAATATTAAAGAGAAAACTCAACAACAATAACATCAGATTACATTCAGTAAAATAAAATAAAATAAAAAATTTTTCATATTTATTAAAGATTCATTTGGATCTCAAAGATATGAAAATCAAAAACATAAATTAAAAAGATTGATAACAGAAACTATTAAACAGAAATTCGATGATAATTCTTCGCCCACGGATTGAATTTATTGAACATAGTAACAGAGAAGAAGAAAAATAAAAGAAAAGGAATCGTTAGTTAATAACAACATTGCTTTAGCTTTTAAGAATATGAAAATTATTATTGAATTTTAAAAAATAAAAAATTTGATGAAATTAATTTTTTTAATACTAATAATGGAATTATCAATTTTAATTTTAATAAGTTAATAATAGTATTGTAGTCAATACTTTTGTAAGTAAAGCTGGTAATACAATAATACCTGAGAAAGTAATACAAGCCTTGAGGGAACAATTATTGGGAGATGTAAGTGACAGAGTACCAAAGCGTAATTTAATTTATGCTACAGCAACATTAGTTGCTCTAGAAAAACAAATACCAGTGACAGTATTGGGAAAATTCCCTAGTATTTTAATCAGTAATACAGAAGAAAAAGATTATATTAATCATGTAGAATTAAAAATTGATATTGTTTGACAGTCACAGGAGAAGACAATGCTATAGACTATCTAATCGCTACATTACGTCCAGATGGAACATTCACTGGTGTCTCATCTGTTGAAGACGGAAATACATACGGAGATAGTCCACAAGATTTGGGATTTAGTGATTTGAATGGTATCTGGAAGTGTGCTGGCAAACCCGGTCAAATCACAATCAGTGCATTGGACTTCTCATTTCCAAACTTGAGACTCCCATGTACAAGAGCATTAGAGAGAACTACATTCACACTTCAGACCAATAAAGATTCGACACAAATCTCGGGTGGATATACATACAGCGGATATAAATTGGAATCAACTTCTAGTGCTGATCAAAAACAAGTCCGTTTGTATGGTCCATATTCGTATACAGTTCAAGGGTACAAAGTATTCGATTTATGTGAGAAAAAGAAAAAGAAACATCATGATCGTGAATATTAGATATTTTGGCGGTAACCGAACATTTTATTTCACTTAGAGTAAGGTGGGGTAATTTGAACAGTATTATTTTAAATCTCCGTATTTTCGTTCTCCCTCAGTTAGCTTAGAAGTGTTATTAGGATCGTATTATTCGTATGAGTATTTTTCTCTATTATCTTACAATTATGTACACATGTAAAGAGGAGTTGATGACACAGCAGATTCTTACGTAGAAAAATGTGGTTAGAGTGAGTATATTTTGTTGTTCTCTCATATTATTTTCAAGGATTCCTAGTTTGGGATTGTTGCATGCCTAGTTATAAACAATATTTATACAAGGCTGAATTTTGTTTTGTTAAATTCTCACGTATCGACACATAATAAAAATCGGTGACTATAATTAAATTCTCCACGAGCTCGATATGAACAAAACCACACGATAATAGGTCTAGGTGCCGTGCCGTAGTTCGTGGATCGTACTTACCAACACGATGCGGTTGGGAAATATTATCTTCAAACACTGGAATGTCCATTACTTTGGCTAAATACAATACTATTTGATTCGCATCTTCTCTTTGCTCTTCTTTGACACCAAATATTCGAAGATATTGTTCGTCGACCATACTGTTCGAGCTGATTCATCTTCTTTAACATCGAATCTTCATACTGTTTGAGATTTTGTTCATACTGTGTTACTTTGTCGTCAAATCTCGCTTCAGTTCTACTTCCTATTGCTGAACTTTTATTGTGATAAATAGAGTTAGACATCTCCCGGCTCTGCATGATCTTTCTTTGCAAAGTTATAGAATTTACAAGTAAAGCCATCAATTAATTTCTTCTTATTTCTGTTGCTTTGAGCTGATAATGAATAATTTAGGACTTGTAGATTCTATAACTTTGCAAAGAAAGGTCATACAGAGCTGAGAGATGACTCATCTTAATTAGAAATTTGCAAGCTACAATCTGCTTCATTAAGAAAGGCTTTTGTTATTATTTAGAGTTTCTGAAAAACTGGTTTTCTAGGAATCCGGTCGCTGGAGGCCTACGAGTCCAAACGGATGTCATATTCGGTTTCAGCATAGTCGATTAGCTATTATCTACTAAATTTCGATAAAAAAGCGATTGCACACTTGGGGACCTTTCGTCGTTAGGTTCCGTTATCAAGAGTGAAGAAACATTTTTTTTTATATAGTTTCTGCATAGCAGCTTTCTCTTGAGTTCATCCTAGTTTGTTATTTCACTTGATTGAGTCACGTCAAAAATCACTCAGATTTGGTCGACTAGCGTTTGTTTTGTCTCTGCTATTATTTTACGTCGATCTTCGCCTGAATATCTTATTCTTTAATAATTATTGCAAAAGATAAATCAAAATGGTGTTCTTTTATCCTCGAGATCAAACACAAGTTTACCTTCATCCTTGAAATGATGAGTGATATTTTTTAAAGGAGTTTGAATCCTTCCTTGCTCTAACGGAACTCCTAAGCAGCTTGTCCAAACTAACGGTTACCTTTTTTTCGCTCTTTTTCAAACATGATTGCAATAAAGCTACAAACTAATCTAAAATTGCATCTAGATAATTGAGTAGATTAAACATTTCTCTACAAAATGAAAAGTTTCTGGGCTCGGAACGTTGATTCGTTATGAAAATACAGTTGTTGACAAACAGCCCAAAAGATCGATTTGGGGGTTATCTGAAAAACGTGTCTAGGAAAATTGAATAGTATACTACTCTGTAGAAAATTGTTTGCTGTAACAAAAATAGGCCAAAGCGTCCCAGAGTTTCCGTTTTTCTGCTTTTTCTTTGATTAATACAGGTTAATTAGATTACTTCCCAACTTGAAAATTATCACATCCTGTAGAGCAAACAATTTACTACCAGCTCATCTTCACTCTTTTGGACAGGTAGTCCCCAGATCGATCTTTTGGGCTGTGTGTACAACAACTGTATTTTCATAACGAATCAACGTTCAGAGCCCAGACACGTTTCATTTTATAGAGAAATGTTTAATCTACTCAATTATCTAGTTTCAGTTTAGTTATTATTATTTTGATAAATCTCATCTGTCGAAACTTGGTTTCTTTAACTGAAAATCCTTTTGTTGCTTATTGCATTTCATTGGGCTCGAAATGAAAGCCGAAAAGTCGTGATAGTCAAAAGTAGGTCAGCTGATCGCTAAATACACAACAAAAATTTACATTTTCAAACGAGAATTAGCGACATAAAAAAATGACTGACGTAAGTAGTAAAGATAATTCAAGAATATAAACTAATTCTGCACAGGAACGGCAAAAGGATGTACTTTTAATACCCAGGAGGGCCGTATTTTTACTATATTTTTACTACTGTATTTTTAATACTTTTTCGGTCATTAATAATAACAAGATTTTTGTACAATCTTATCTATACAGCAAACTCTTACGAGTTTTTTTGAAATCTGAAGGACGTAAAATGAGTTTTCTAGAAGCTCGAGATCTGGTTATGAATTGTTTAGAGAAATAGATATAAGTTCTCCATACAGGACAAATGAAGACGTCTTTTTTTTACAGCGTAGCTCCTAGACTTAGTCTCATTGAAAATGAGTTTGGGTTGTATGATTGAGCCCAGCTATGTCGTATATTGGTTGAATTATTGCATGACATACCATAACAAAGACAAAGAAATTGAATAAAGCTTGAACCTTTAGCAGCAAAACTTCATAAACCAGATAAAGTAAGAAATTCTTATCGAAAGAGTACACAGAATGTAAATAACAACGAACTCTGTTCGTCTGTTGTGTTTTTTCCCTCATGCAACATCTGATATTGTTTAATTTAATTTTTCTTTTTTTTATTGCTTTACAAGCGTGGTGTTCAAGCTCGTGAACTGTAAGTAAATGTAGTAAAGAGCTGGTGACCATCTCCAGTTCGTACTCATGTGAGCTGTTGATCAGCTCCAGCTCCTACTCATGTGAACTGT